ATAAAAAGCAGCTCTTGAGAGAGACCTAGAGGAATATCCAGAGAAGTAAGATGGAGAATAAATATGACATCCCTGAAGTTCAGTCTGTTCTACTGAGTCACTATATTTGTCATAGTCCTCTTTTCAATAGGTCACATCCCAATTTGGGGCCTTTTTGCTTATAGGATTCCAAGGACCAAACTGCCTTCTTAAAAACTACCACACACCAAGACAAAAGCAAAAACGAAACAACAACAAAAAATACCTAACACCTTATTTCCTTCAGGTCTAATTCTTGAATCCACATATCCCATTTCCATGGAGGACTAGCAAACTTGACAGTGTGTGTATATGTCTGTGGTGAGGGAGGGGGTGTTAGGTGCCATGGCGTGGAGGATGGAGTTGTGGGTACAGCATGGACAGTGGCTAATCAGAATGCATCAGCCGGTGAGTGGGCTATAAGCAGGCCTGCACATATGTACCTATGGTCATGAGAGATGGAGTCATTGGAGTGGCTCGAAAGAGGGAGAAATAACCATACAGAGACATGAAAGGAGTCTTCCACATTTACGGGACTAAGTGAGGAAGGAGTGTGCAAGATCTTGGCAGTCCGATACAATACCAGTGGGTTCAAGTCCAAAAAGCAACCCTGGCAGCAGAAAGGATGTTCTCTCTCCTCCCCAGCTAAGCAGGGCTGGGTGACCAGCACAGGTGAGGCCTGGAATAGATTTCTACTCCTCCCTTCTTGCTTCAGAGCTCACTTATCAATCTCTATGGTCTGTTCATGCCATACAACATTTACACACTGCCTACTAATGTGTGGGGCTATTTTCTTCACTAAACTGCAAGCTATCAGAGGGCATGGATTCTGTTGGTCAATGTTTTTGGCACAGAGGAATATTACTTATTGAATGAAGGCACACTCCCATGGCCACTTTCTATGCTCCTTTGTTCTTTGTGACAACCTAAGTTTCCTCATCTTCCACTTTCTATACTTTGCACGCTTTTCCTAAGATTTACCATCAGTGACTCCTTACCTAGAGAGGGGAACCACAATTAGACTTCCAATTCTATTTAATCCACTTCTGTATTATCCTGAAACCATCAGTTCCCCAAACAAGAGTAAACCTTCAGTTTTCCTTAAGAGCAATTATCTTTCTGTATCTAAACCAATGACAGAGTGTGAAGTACTTTGTCCAGTCAGGCAGAGCTGGGTTAGAATCCTAACTGTGCCCTTACAGGGACCTTGGGTTAATTAGCTCTGAACCTGGGTTAGTCTGCACTTCATTTAGCTTATCTATAAAATGGGGATACCCAGAACTGCAGGACATTGTCAAAGTAATATTTGTAGAAACGTTTAAAGTATTGGGAAGTATTAGCTACCTCACCACCTGTTAGTACTAAGTGCTAAGAACTATACAGTAACTGCTACTGCATTTAATTCTCACAAAACTTGATGAGAAAGGTTATAATATTCTCTCCATTATTCCAGATAGGAAACTGAGGGTCAGAGAAGTTTAAAGAACTTGACCCAGGTAATAGCGCTACTAATTGTCACAAAGCAGAAATTGAAACCCAGGCAGTTGAACTTCTGGATTTTAAACATCATGCTCCTTGACTGGCATGAAGGAGGTACAGAGTAAATGGTTTTCAAAGGAAAAAAAAATCATCCCCAGCCAAAATGGTGTTTTGGTTGTACACCATTTCCAGAATGTATTGCTCTATGGTTTTATATCGTTTATCAGACACATACAAAGACACTCTAATTTCATGTGATGGAGATCCTTAGGTTTTTGCCTCTAGTATATCACAGTATAACAACTTAAATTGGTTTCCAGGAATTCATGGAAAGGAGAGAGAAAGAACAGTGCTGATTGCTTGTGTAATTTGCTTGTGTAGGAGTCTCCTTCACTGACCTTTGTTGATTGCAGAATTGTTGGACTTGTATTTAATTCCTGAAGCCCTCTGACAGTATGTTTTATTTTTTTTGACAGTATGTTTTATTTGAAGGTTTTTTTTATTTTTTAAATTTTTTTTATTTATTTATGAGAGAGAGAGAGAGAGAGAGAGAGAGAGAGAGAGAGAGAGAGAGGGGCAGAGACACAGGCAGAGGGAGAAGCAGGCTCCATGCACTGGGAGCCTGATGTGGGATTCGATCCCGGGTCTCCAGGATCGCACCCTGGGCCAAAGGCAGGCGCCAAACCGCTGCGCCACCCAGGGATCCCTATTTGAAGGTTTTCTATATCTCAATCTTTTTCTATGCATTTTCAAATTTCCCTTACATCATTTAATATGCTATCCAAAGGGGCACCTGGGTGGCTCAGTGGTTGAGCATTTGCCATCAGCTCAGGGCATGATCCTGGAATCTAATCCTGCGTTGGGCTGCCTGCAGGGAGCCTGCTTCTCCCTTTGCCTATGTCTCCGCCTCTGTGTCTCTTATGAATAAGATCTTAAAAAAAAAATAGCTATCCAAAAAGCTATTAACTCTTTTCAGATTTTCTTTATCTTTTTCTTAAGATGCTTTGTCATTTATTAAGTATCTATTATATATACAACTGGCATTATACAACTGCTAGTTTGTGTAGAAAGAAGACTAAGCTCATTAGCTAGCTGCTCTCAGAAAGCATGCTAGTCTGCCCTGAATGTTCTTTTTTATTCATATGAAGAGTCCTATACAAAGGAGAATCACTTCTTAGACTCAACCAAGACCTACAAAAATATTTCTACCAAAATGCAAGAAGTGGGGCTGGTCCATAATTAACAAAACCTAAACCTATTACTTAAGGAGGAAAAAGTGAAGGGGTATAGAATTCTAACTTTGAATGGGCAAATATCATGCTAAATAACTATTTCACCAAGTCATGTCATCAGGTTCTTATATTCGCCGAAAGGCTAGATTTGCAGAGTAGTTCGAGTAAAGCAAGTAAAGCAATCCCAAACCTAAGCAGCACTTCCGTCTTTGGTGAGGAGAGAATGGACTATCTAATAAAGCGAAGTTAAAAACACCCCATTTTTGGTGGAAGTGTGCATCAACACTTTTTTTTTTTTTTAAAGATTTTATTTATTTATTCATGAGAGACAGAGAGAGAGAGAGGCAGAGACACAGGCAGAGGGAGAAGCAGGCTCCATCCAGGGAGCCTGACACAGGACTCAATCCCAGGTCTCCAGGATCACACCCTAGGCCGAAGGCGGCGCTAAACCACTGAGCCACCCGGGCTGCCCAACACTTCTGGTTTTGAAGAAACTCCAGGCATCTATAGTGATGGACAGGTAAGGCTATGCTATCTTCTATCAGTTTCTTCAATGTTTCAGCCTTTTTTCCCCCCCTCCAACTTTCAGACATCTGGTAATTTATATGTTTGGGACCAACTTATTATATAGCAGCCAAAGGGAAAACAAATTAATGCTTTCATTGCAGAAGAGAAAAAAGTAGTGCAGCTTCCTCCAAAAAAAGTTCAGTTGCAGCAAATTCTGGAAGAAAAAGCTGCCGTGGTTGGCCACGTTTCCTCTAAGCAGTAGGAAAGTGCATGCACTTGCTCAGCTGAAGCAGGTCTAACTCGGTCCTCATCAAGCACCACACACTAAAGCAACTAAGAACAGGGCCACAGCTGAGTGGAGGAGTACAGTCCTGGGTCACACGGGTGCATCTGAACCTGGGATCTAGGATTATCACATGGTCTCACATCAGCTGGGAGAGTTTCTAAACTCCACAGTGGAGCCTACACTAGTCATTAAAAATGGTGCCCTAGCCTAGATCTCCCAAGGCAATGACAAATGACAGGATGTGAAGCTTGGACTGTGTGTGTCTAGAGAAGGAAAAGCAGACCTCAGATGTTCCCTCTTTTTCCAGGGAACACCCAGGTGGAAAAATTGGAATTCTATTACCCTTACCTCACCAAGGCCTCCACTCCCAAACCGCAGCCCCCAAAACATAGGATAGGGTTGGGGGTTTTCTTGTTTTTTGTTTTTAAAGTTTCCTCTGCAAGCACTGTATTCAGGAGAAATGGTAAAGGCAGGCCCCAGATTGTTTAGGGTGACCAAAGGAAACATTTGCTTTTCCAGGGTCATACTTCTAAATTCTTTACACTATTCCATGCGTAAGAACAACTTTGCCTTAACACACTCGTCATAATCCACATCTAGGGGAGATTTTTCCTCAACTGGCAGTTATGGAAAGAGATTGAAGACCCCAGTTTTCCTCCTCTGCAAAAAGCAATTGCATTAGAAGAGCTATTTGAGGTTCTTCCTGCTTTGCAAAAATGGAGTAATGCAGTAGTTTCCAGTTCAAAGAACGACCTCCTGCAAATCTAAGTAAAGCACATGCTGTATACTCCACAGCAAGCCTTCGGGATGAGGCTTGCAAAGTCACGCATTGTTCCATACCCAGTCCTATGCCTCCTTATGAACGCAAAGTATCCTAACCTACAGAGAGGCTGGGGGTGAGGAGGAGAGAGTAATTGTTTCTCCCTTCAGAGAAGGGGTAATTTTACTGTCGGCTACTTTTGAGTTTGAGTTGGCTCATTTGCATTGCTCAGATTTGAAAAATCTAGTAACTACTATGTAGGCTACAAGCACACACACACCCTCACACACACTCTCACACTCAGTTCTTAAGTCCATCACTGGTGAATTTCAACCCCTTCTTCTGCATACAGTTCTGAAGGAGCAGCTCTAGTCCTCAGGTCCTGATTCACGTGGTACCTCAGCAGTCCTTCCCACACTGACCTCTGCCAAGGCGAATATTGTAAATACTGACCACGGCTCCTCCAAAGATAGGATCCCAGTCAACTGGTCCACAGCAGAGGTTGGGACATTACAAGAAGCATGAAAAGCTAGCTAGACCTGTGACCACCGCCTTCTCAGCTCAACCAAAGAGCCGGGAACTGCACACACGTTTTACTGTAGGTGACAGAAGTGCACAGATGCACAGAGAAATCACAGATGAGAGGGGAAAACAAGGAGCAAACCTGCCCCTCCATCCAACTAAAAACCAGGCAGGGAATGCAAGTCGCTCTACTCACCCAGCATAGCGGTTGCTATAAAGGTGGCTGTGCCCTGGTTGCAGAATCTTCAAAGAGAGCAGGAAAAGAGGCAGAAAAGCAGCTGTCCGGCTCCTGGGCTTCCCGGGGAACTTCATAGTGCTACAGTGCAAGGAGCTGGAAGTTAGAGCAGTCACCCGAGGCTGGAGGTGGCTCACAGTGCCCCCTCCACATGCGCACACGTTCTCCAGGAGGGGGTGGGGGAAAGGGTTGGGAGCGAGTAAAATGTGACACTTCTTTCCAGCCACAGGGGAAAAAAAAAGTTTCAGCAGCCGAAGGAGGGAAGTTGCTATTAAGACTTGGTCTTGGGACAAGAAGCAGCGGCACACACAGCCCAGCCCAGCAGCTGAGCCTGATCCTCAATCAGGCTCCCCTAGAAGGGGCTGGGCCTCCCCTGCGCTGACTCATGGCTGGGGTTCACTGGGTGCTGCTTCCCTTTGGGTAACTCCTCTCTGGTTTTTTTTGTTTGTTTCTTGCTTTACGACTTCACGCCCCTTTCTTGGACAAGCTTTCTCCTTTTATTACCTTCTGTGGTGCAGGACCCTACCCTAAATGCAAATGGATTTGCTTGAGGATGAGCTAAACAAGTAGGCATACAGAGGACACTCCGGGCTTAGGGTTTTGCTCTACTATAGCAAATTTCTACATGGATTCCATACTGAAATGCATGATCAACAGCCTTAATAAGCATATGTGCCTGGGTCCGGTCGCGCCTCTGAATCTCAACCGCCAGCCTTGGTTCCAACTCCTACCTGTACGAAGAAGGGGCAGCTGCTTCGCTGGGTTTCTGGGACCTCTTTGTATCCATTGCAGGTCAGCAGCACCCAGAGCCGCTGTGATTTCAGAGGTTCTTCTAGGGAACAGGAGGCTTCCACGTGCTTTACTACCTTCTCTCACATTTGGAATCATTTAGGAAACCAGACCATTTAAATCAGAATTCCTGGGGGTGGGATCGGTGGTTTAAAATGTTCCTCAGGTGATTCCAATGTTCAGCCACCTTGGTGGTGTGGAGTGGGGCTTCTCGAACTTTAACATGCATAGAAATCAAATCACCTGTGGATCTTGTTAAACCGCCCCTTCTGATACAGTAGTTTGGGGCTGGGGCCTGAGATTATGCATTTCTAATGAGCTTCCAAGTGATGCTCTTGCTGCTGGTGCTTAAGTCACACTTCGAGTGGCAAGTCTTTACTTTAGAATGAGGTCTGCTTTTTCTCCTCTCTCTTAAAACTGGGGATGGGGCTGATAAAAAACAAAAACAAAACAAACAAAAACACCCTGGAGCAAACCATCTTCCTTCTCGTCTTTCCAGGTTGGTGATGAAGGTGGTTTTTTTTTTTTTTTCATCCACTTACTCCATCCCAGATATACCAGAAAACCCATCTGGCAGGGATAAACTTCGTTCTAGTAAATAAGAACGGTGTTATCTAGGATGACTCCTATTTAGCCCTATGCCAAGGCCTGGTCCTACTCTGGAAGAGAGTAGAAGTCAGCATTTCTCTATAAACTCACACATTTTTCAAGTTTCCTGAAGAGTCATAGCCAAAGATTATGTACCCTCCAAGATTATGGCCAGAACACTGCTTAGAAGAGAAAATACATCTTTCCCCATGTTCTCTACCTGGGGAGTTGAGCCAAAGTCATAGGAGTTTGGTTTATAACAGAGCCGAAATGATTTTCAGTTAAAATGATTCTCCAAAGCTTTCCTAACTACCCCAGGATTAGTTTAATCTCTTCTCTGTGTCCCTCTAATACCAGTATGTTGTCTACTGGAGGGGATAGTACATTGAATTTAAGTATTTGTCTGGTTCCCTCTCTCAAGGCTGCCTTTTTCTTGAGCACAAAACAGTGTCCCTTTCATCTTTATGACACTTCCTTATATGCCCTAAAGGGAACACAATGTTTGCTGAAGCAATGATCAGCCATGTTTATTGAATGAATGATGAACCTGAGAAGGGGTTCATTCAATATTTACTCTGCGACTTCTATATCCAGACAGAGGAAAGGATGGAGGCGCTAAGGTAGTGGAAGGTTCCAGGTCTCTTGGTTTTGTTTTTTGTTTGTTTATGTTGTCTTCTTCCTTCATGATTTTATGGCCTGGTGCTCCGTCTTTGAGGCTGCTCTGCAAGGCTCCCAGCGGTGCTCCCTGAGGCCGGTTTGGCCAGGCCAAGAAAGCCTATGTAACAACGACTGAACTGTTGAAATAAGAGGTTACTGTGTAAATAAAACACTTCATCTCTTTGCATTTCATTATGTCAGAACAATGTATAAATCTGTCATATTATATCACAACATTAAACTAGGAATGTTCGGTCTCTGACTGGGGATTAAGCACATCCTCAAATCATTCTGAAGGATTGGATCCAGTGAGCATGTTCAGCAAAGGCTCTCCAGACTCTGAGACCAGGGTAATCATTCCCTGGACCATTAAAAATGCAAGAGACCCTGGAGACATCCTATAGCCTTCCTCAAAATTTCAGATCAAAGACAAGTTCTCAAACAATAGAAGTCATTCCTAGCAATCTTCCTCTGGTTTCCTAAGGACCAGGTTATCTGATCAAACTTCTCCTGGGGTGGATAAGCCCCCATAAAATGAGTGATAAATAGAGTCCACTTAGTAAGTGGGAGGAGAAAAGAATGGCTTTACAGATGGATTCAAAGATAAGAGTCCCATTTTTAAGGCACTGAGAGGGAGTGAATTATTAAACCAGTTAGAGATTTAGAGATGGAAAGATGAGAATTTCTATTTATTGTTATACCTTTGTCATATTTTAGCGAGAGTTAATATTTAAAAAAGAAATATTACCCTGCAGAGAAACAAAAGGAAAATACAATTGGGAAAGGAAAATGTTATTCTTGGTTTGGGTCCATGGTAGTTCATGATTAGATAATTTTTTAATTGAAGTATAGTTGGCATACAATATTATATTAGTTGCAGATGTATAACATAGTGATTCGACATTTATATACACTGTAAAATGATCACCACAATTAGTCCAGTTCCCATCTGTCACCAAAGTTAATATATTATTGACTATATTCCTTATATTGTAAATTACATCTCCATGGCTTATTTATTCTGTAACTAGAAGTTTGTACCTCTTGATTCCCCTTTGCCTATTTCACCCCCTTCCCTCCACCACCAAATCCTGCTCTCCTCTGGAAACCGTCAGCCTCCTCTGTGTATCTGAGTCTGGTTTTGTTTGTTTCATTTTTTAGATTCTACATATAGGTGAAATCATACAACATTTGTCTTTCTCTGACTTATTTCACTGAGTGTAATACTCTCTAGGTTCATCTATGTTGTCACAAATGGCAAGATTTCATTCTTTTTTACGGTCCAGTTATTACAACTGGATATATAGCCACATTTTTATTTGTTCATCTATTAATGGACACTTCCGTTGCTTTCATATCATGGCTATTGCAAATAATGCTACAACAAATATAGGGATACATATAGCTTTTCAACTTCGTGTTTTCATTTTCTTTTCTTTTTAAAATTTTAATTCCAGTATAGTTAATATATAGTGTTATGTTCGTTTCAGATAAACATAGTGATTCAACAATTCTTTTTAAAGATTTTATTTATTCATGAGAGGCACAGAGAGAGAGAGAGAGAGAGAGAGAGAGAGAAGCAGAGACACAGGCAGAGGGAGAAGCAGGCTCCACGCAGGGAGCCCAAGGTCGGACTCGATCCCAGGTCTCCAGGTCAGGCCCTGGGCTGAAGGTGACTCTAAACAGCTGAGCCACCCGGGCTGCCCCTGATTTAACAATTCTATACAAGTTACTCAGTGCTCATCTTGATAAGTACACTCTAATCATCCCTTACTTCCCCCATCCCCACCCCACTCACGTCCCCTCTGTTTCTTGGGTTTATCTCTTTTTTTCCCCTTGCTTGTTTGTTTTGTTTCTTAAATTCCACATGAGTGAAGTCATGAGCTATTTGTCTTTCTTTGACTTATTTCACTTAGCATTGTACTCTCTAGTTCCATCCATGTTGTTGCAAATGGCAAGATTTCATTCCTTCTTATGGATGAATAATATTTCTATATACATACTATATATAAACAAAACTAGGAGATCTGGGACCTTCTACTGCCTTAGTGCCTCCATCCTTTCCTCTGTCTGGATATAGAAGTCACAGAGTAAATATAGAATGAACCCCTTCTGTGTATGTGTGTGTGTGTGTGTGTGTGTGTGTGTGTGTGTGTGTGTGATATATCACATCTTCTTTATCCATTCATCTGTTGATGGGCACTTGGCTGCTTCCATGATTTGGCTGTTGTAAATAATGCTGCAATAAACATAGGAGTGCATGTATCCCTTTGAATTAGTGTTCTGTATTTTGGAGGTATATACCCAGGAGTATAATTACTGGATCATAGAGTAGTTCTTTTTTAATTTTTTGAAGAACCTCCATACTGTTTTCCACAGTGGCTGTACCAATTTACACTCCTACCAACAGTATGAACATCCCCTTTTCTCCACAACCTTGCCAACACTTATTATTTCTTTTTTTTTTTTATAATAGCCATTCTGACAGGCATAAGGTGATATCTCATTGTGGTTTTGATTTACATTTCCTCAGGCATTTGCAAAAGATGAGCATCTTTTCCTGCCTGTTGGCCATCTATATGTCTTCTTTGGAGAAATGTCTGTTCAGATCTTCTACCCATTTTCAAATTGGATTGTTTTCTTTTGTTGTTGTTATTGAATTATTGAATTATATAATTTTTAATGTCCCTTCCAGATCTGAAATTCTCTGGTGTTCTAGGGAATGATTTTCTTAAGTATATGAATGAGAGCCCCGTAGATTTATTTTGGTAAAGATATCTGAAGAAGATAAATGGGTATAGCTGGGCTTTGCGGTACAGGCAAAGCTCCCACTGCAGTTGGTTTTGTGCTCATTCTTCAATGTCTTATTAACATAGACCTATTGGCTGTCAGGCCTCTTTTATGGCCCTTTGCTATTGTTCCAACATGTGAGGAATTAGCAAATGTGACGTTAGGTTGCTGCCTTATGCAGTCTTGGCAATTCTGTGAGGAATGTTCTGAAGCTTCCCTTAACAATGCATTGCTAATGATTCCCACCCAATTGTCTTTTTCAGCACCATCAGCTATCTCTTCTTGATCCTATGTTTTTAATCTTTCTCTTGTCAACTCTCCATATTTCTCCCATCCTTAAATGCAAGCTACCTCCTTTCTTTCTTTCTTTCTTTCTTTCTTTCTTTCTTTCTTTCTTTCTTTCTTTCTTTCTTTCTTTTTCTTTTTCTTTTTCTTTCTCTCTTTCTCTCTTTCTTTCTTTCTTTTCTTTCATT